CCAGACTGTTGGTGTTGAGGCTCAGAGCTGACTCTCTTGTGACATTTGACTTCTAATAACGTATAAATAATAATACATATTCAACACAGTTCTGCTGATTGAAGCCTCGGCCACTCTGACCGGGGCCACTGAAGATACTCATCTGGTAGCGATTTAGGTAATGATCAGTAACGATGTGTTTTCCAGCTACGGTTGGCACGCACAACAACACTGTAATATATTCTCAGAACAGATCCCGTCGAACCTAGACTTTGTGAGTTGTCTTCAGGACATTGAGAGTTGTCCGAGAAAACCAAGACCGTGGTTTCTGGTAAACAGGAGCTTGTTAGCGTGAACATCAGGGAGACAGGCTCAAACAAGTTGGACAATTCCCTTAGCTCGGGTCTTTGTTCACGTCAGAGGGCAACTAAGAGACGTCGAGACAAGAATCGGCCAGTGTCCTCACAAGACTCAGACTTGTTCAGAAGGACAGATCTCTGCTACCAAAGTTAGACCGCTGTGTCCACTTGTTGTGTCGGTCCTTCTCTGGGCTGCGGAAACCTGGACTCTGAAGGCTGAGACAAGCATGCACCCGCTTCATGTCCACTGGTCCTCCCACTCGACACATGGTGAGGTCTGCCAGAGAGTCCATGTCCTCATGACTCCTCCCCGATGCGGATCAAGAATAAGAGACTGAAGTGTCCACATAGTGAGACCAAGGGAACTCTGTCAAACGTGATTCTTCGGGGAAAAGCTGAAGGAACCCATAAAAAGGGGACGTCCTCAACAATGAACAGAGGACATCCATAGCTGGACTGGGCTCCCTTTCCGTGTCCTCGACTGTCTTGCTGAGGATCGGTCCAAGTCTAGGTTTATGGTGAATGATGTTTGCACAGCCTCCACAGCACTAGGCTAAGGCACTGATGAGGTTAAGTGACTTTTATTTAGTGAACCAGCTCTGTCTGGACAATATATTAGAAATATTTCATCATCAGTGTCTGTAAGTTCAACATCACAATCTCAAAGTGCTGTTTGGACTGTTATACGTCACAGCCCACTACATTTTAGGTGCAAGCTTCAAGGTTCTTTATTGTCATTCGCCTCACATGTGGTGCATGAGGTGGAAAGAAATTATGTACTCAAGGTCCCAGTTACATCCAAATATAGCAACAACAAAAAAGCACCATATATTCATATATTCTGCATGATGATAATGCATTTGGTCAAAACAACAGACTCTCACTGAACTTGATGCCCACGTCATCACAATATTAATCACTGGCCTCCGAACCAGTTATGGTTCAGTACTGGTTGTCTTATTTGGCTAGATTCTGGGTGTGTGGGTTTAGGCAAATTGGGCTGAGTTGGCACATTCAAGCACATTTTCACCAACAAAGATTTAAGTTTGGTGACCTGCGATTAAAAAAGCTCAGGTCAACATCAGCACCCAAACCTGTGGCATATTGTAGGACTGCACAAAAACTAGGAAAACTTGTGACATGCAGTTTTATTGTTTAATATTGCAATAATATCAATTGGGATAAACTCACAGTTTCCTCTCTCCTCACTTCTTCATCACTCCCATATAATCCAGGTGAGGGCATCAAGACCAATGAGACTCTGTCAGGTTGGCCAAATATATTATTAGCTTGCAGAACGTGAATGCAAGATGTCTTGTAGTCCAAGCAGTCCTATGTGATGCTGATACCGCAATGATGACAGTAGTTTTGATATATTGTGCAGCCTTAACATTCTGCATTAGTTTGTTCTGGGAACAGGTCAACCAATGACATTTTTTCCCAATAAGTTACTTTCCCATCTGTCAAAAAATATGCCATTGCTCAAGTTTATAAAGTTAGTGGTTCAGTGGTTTGAGCAGTCATCCTGCAAGAAGTGAGTTGGAGGTGCAATTCCACCAGTATGCAGTCGCATGTCAAAGCGGTATGGCTGATATTAGATTACTGTGTGCCAAAATCAGCCAGTTCATTAGTCAGGTCATTAACTGGGCAATTTCTAGTTCTGGGGTTATAACTTTGATCCATTTAGATTGGGAAAAAAATCGGATCTGCATGCTTTCAGGTCAAACTACAACCAGAATAGTCTTAATTTTTCAATTAATTAACCTGGAAAACGAAAGGTTAATTTTTAAAGCAGTCACAGCAAACAGTTAACTTTGTTTACATGCACTGTAGCTGAAACCAGTGAGACCACTGAAAGAAAACAGGTGGTTCACTTCAATGCTTTTTTTTAAGACTAAAATTTTAATTCATCAAGTTTGTAATTATAACATCCCTGACCCGCTGAATACCTAAAATAAGAATATTATGAGACTTTCTGACCCTTTAATGCCTTTCAGGGGAAAGCAGCAAAAAGCTGTCAAGGAACTATTTAGCTTTGTCTTCTTAAAAATGTCAACATAAACATGTTACAGAGCCATACCTGCCTCCTCCGTTTAGTCTTTTCATTCCCTTTCGACATGAATTAGGAGAAGTCACCCATTGCTGCTGTTCTTTCTGCATTTTCTCAGGTAATTTCCATGTTTTGGTTGTAAACAAGCAGAGCTGTCTGCAGCTTGGCTCGTTGACTCAGAGCAGTTTGTAATGTCGCCCCCTGGTGGCGAAACAAGCTCAGCGCACCCGCTCATATCTGACTGCGTTTACATTCAGTTCAATTTCAATTCAGTTTATTTATACAGCGCCAAGTCACAACAGAAGTCATCTCAGGACTCTGAACAGAAACATTCATATATACAAATAATAAGTTAACACTTTTTATCTGAGGAGCAGACTGTTTTGAATTTAACTCCATCACTGAACTCTCATCTTGAGCAAGCATGAAGGCGACAGTGGGAAGGAAAAATTGCGATAGACGAAAGTTTTCCTTAGTTGACACATATCCCAGGAGAAATTTGATAAGTCGGCCTGCTTTCGAGGCCAACCGGGGAAGTCATATTCAGAAAAGGCACAATTGTTGATTTCTTCAAGCAGACTGTTTTATTCTTGTGGCTTTGAGTCCTGCTGGTACTTTCAAGATCCAAAATGGCCAGATTTGTGGGCATTCCACTGGTCCGTGCTTATGAGCCTCCTCCAAGGTCGTCTCCAACAGGCTGGCGAGTCCCAGAAGCCGCAGGTGGCCTGCGATTCTCCAAAAATCGCTTCCATCTTAAGGTTTAGCTCGTAAAGCAGCTGATTTTGAGCACTCGAAGCACGAACCAAACCTTCACACAGACTCGGCAGTTTGCTATGGCCAAAACTGCTGCCGCTAACCTTAATATTTATTAATATATTCATTTAGTAAAAAAAATTCTGTATGCCTCTTTTGTGACTGTCTATTGTTGATCACTGTTGTCATCACTCTTTAAATCATGTCTCTCTTATAAATGAGTCCCCGAGGCTCAATGGGATTAACCTGTATAAATAAAGGTTGAATGAAAAAAGAAAAAAGCTGAGAACATAGGAATCCACAGACGCCAAAAAGCAGAAACCCTACTGTCACAAATCCAATTTTATAAATCTCCAGCTTCCTCCTGAAAAAACAGAAAGACGCATCGGCTCCCAATGCATGACGTATCCTACCACGTGAGGCTCAGCGGGACAGGAGGGCTCTCCAGGACCCTGTCGCTTGGTTGAAAAGATTTTGCTGATTACTAAAAGGAGCACTTTGGTAACAGTTACTGTTTTAAATGTGCTATATAAATAAATTTCACTTGACTAAAAAAATACAGAAAGGGATGAAGTCATAAAAGCTTCAAATGCTAAATTTTAGCTGTTCTAGTGCTGAAGCTGTTTGAAGCCATTTACTGCATTTCATGCGTGCTCGTTTTATTGGCTTTTTTTTTTTTTAAATACTTGTATATCTGACTTTGGTTGCCATTCACCTTCAGTGACAAAATAAATAGTGAACGTTAAACTAGAAGCGGTTTGTAAAAAGTGACAATAGGAAATGCACATTAAACACACTTATGTGGTTTTGAGACTTTTTTATGAATTCAACAAGATTTCAAACATTCAAGTAAAACTCACGTTTTACATAAATATATAGCAAATTATTTAAACAGCAAATTAACCATTCTGACATGTAAACAGAAGGCAAAATATCCCTTTAAGTTATTTCCTGTTCCGCAGCTCGTTAGATAAAAAAAAACAAAAAACCTGTACAGTAAATTTACATTGGTCTAACAGTTCGGCATGACTTCTGTTTCAGTATTTACAACATAAAGGTACAAGATGAATAAAATGTGGCTAAACATAAAACAAATAAATCCAAGAGATCGGCACTTTGAAAAACAGAATCAGTGACAATAAATGATTTTTGATTTTTTTCCCCTAATATTCTTGTGGTTTACATTAATTTACCGTAACTTTATTAATCTGCAGAAACCAAAGGGCAGCCTGAAGAGGATTTTACTTAAGAGAAATTAAAAATTTGTGAACACAAGCTGAAATAAATACTTATTTACCCAACAATAAACATCAGATGTGGGTGGAACATCCCCAAATTAGACCAAATTAAATAAAAATCTTAAAAGGACTGAATTTTGAAGCAGAACACAGATCTAACACCGTTTATGAAGAGAGATCGATCAGCTGCGTTTTACCCCAAAGATGAGTAAAATATGACGTCATCTGTGAAATCAAAGTAGCATTTCTGGACAAAATCAAATAATTTTTGTTGAACCATGTCTAATTTGTTTTCCATAAATAAATGTAATAATTTGGAGGACAGAATAAACAGAAGTTGAAGGTTAAAGACAATTTTGTTTGTGTTGGAATAATCAAACAAATATTACGGACAAGAACGATTTCACTGGAACTAGAAACTAAAAGTGGAAGTTTGTGTTTGGAATTCATACGGATTATTTTCACATTTTAAACCACTTCGAGTCGGGTTCAAACGTCCGCAGTCGAGTGTGTGTTGGAGGTTTTATTACTCTGAACCAGTTTCCACAATGGACACCATTTTTAATTCACAATATATAAAATTTTAAAAAAGTGTTCTTTAAAAAGTTGTGCATCTCAAGTAGCTCCGTGCTCGAAGCACTGGGTCCGTCTTCATCTGATCCGGCCTCTGAGGACTGACCGGACCAGGACTTCACCACTTCCCCCTTTTGCTCCAGTCCTTTGGAGTGAAGTGAAGACCCTTGGGGTCGATTCGCAGGTGCCTCTTCTGCATCGCTTTCTCGTGTCCGTCCACGATGTCCTCTGACAGAGTGAGGATGTACTGACCCTGAAGAAGATGTCAAGTCATTTCACATTGTTTCACAGCACGTTCTTAAAATAAATACGCAGCATTCAAACTGACTGCAGTTCTATTACGATCATTAAAACCAGAGTACTGCACGCGGGTTGGACAAGCGGTCCTTGTATAACCTTTGACCTTGATTTGTGACCTTGAAGCTGGGTGATGAAAAGTGTACGTGACACTCCATTTAGTGATGATGCACACATGCATGTTCCATTAAATTTTCTTGAGTGGACCAGAAGTAAGATTGTTTACGGAGAGTATACCATGGTAGGTCCGTCGTTTGACGGGTGCATAAAAAACAAGTACACTAGAGAAATTGCATTTCCTGTGAAAATGCAGCCTGAATGATTATTGGTGAAGAACTTACTGAAAAACAGCTGAAATTAGCTAAAAGACATGCTGAATTTTTGCTGAAAATGAACAAGAAGCCTAAAGTAGCAGAAGAAAGCAGAAAGAACACATATTTGCTGAATTACCGTAGCTTAAATAAGCAGAAATAAGCACAAAAGTTATAAAATTAGCAATAAGAAAAAGCTAAAATTAGCACAAAAATAGCTGAAAAGGCAGAAAGAAGCTTAAACTACAAGAAGGAAGTGGAAGTAACTGAAATAAGCTATAAAAAAATGTGGAATTAGCTGAAAAAGCCAAAAACAGCATAAAATAGCTAAAGAGTAGTTGAAATAACTGAAATTAGCATAAATAAGCTGAAAGGAGCAGAAATAAGTTAGAAGAAGCACAAAAATGTTGTAGTTAGCAGAAAGAATCTGAAAGGAGCAAAAAACAGCTGAAAGTAGCTGAAAGTAGCTGAATTATTTTTTTTAATTTGCACAAAGAAGCTGAACAAAATGTGAAAGGAGCAGTAAAAGGTTGTAAACAGATCTAAAGACCTGAAGGAGGTAAAATGAGCTCAATTCATTTTCTATGAGAAAAAAAATGGCAGAAAAAGCCAAATATTTAAAAAAGCTAAAATTGCACCAATACCAAAACTCACAGCAGGATTGTCCTGAACGAGCTGAACGTTTTGATTTATGATTTGTTGAAATAGCACAAAAACTGTGGAACGAGAACGATGCTGAGAAACGTACGGAAGAAAAATGGATCACAACAGAGAAAATGCTTCATAAACATTCACACAATAAAATCACAAAGTAAAACAGACTAAACTTGAATTTTTGTGCCGATCGATGTTTGATGTTCCTTGACTTAAAAATTTGTAAGCAAGGTTCGCGAACGGCTGCCAACTTCCATCCACGTGTTAGTTTAGCTACAGAAACAGCCGAAGCGACAAACAGTTTTGATGTTTTGGTGCGTATTTACGCTCGGATCTGTTGAGTCAGTACGCAGATAAAAAGATAAAACTGAAACAATGAACCCAGAGTCTAGAAGTTTTGTAAACAGTTGTGTATTTGAAAGCGGACGGAGCCGATTCGTTCCCTTTTCTTTCACGTTTAGCTGCAGATTCATGCCGACATTTCCAACTTAATTCTACTCTCCGGGATTCTACGCTTGTCTGATTCCACCATATTCGTTCACCTACACGGACACGCCACATCCTTCTTTATACTCGTAATTTCACTGATGAGGGTCAGTCACGTGACACAGTCTGCCACGTGGAATTAGGCAGATTCTGCTGAACGCTTTTGTTTACACCGAGTGCGTACCCGCATTCCAGAATTGCGTATCAGTATATCTGAAAAACTACGTTTATTTTGATCCAACTCAGGATTTTTATGTTTGATTTCATACTTTGAAATAAGTACAATAGCTTTCATTAGCAATAAAAATAAAAGAATTATAGCCTAAAAAAACATGGAGCAATCTGAGGTTTTTAATTACATTTAATTAGTACAATAGATTAGCGAGTAATCTGGAACTTTTAACCTGAAACTAAATGATTGTGGTGCAGCTAAAAAGGGCGGAGTGTGGTTTCCTTATTAAATATGGAACAGGTTTGAATAGATGCCTCCTGAACAGCTAACTCACATTTATTATTTTGAGTTTGCTTATGTGACTAGAAGTGTAAGTTGGTGTGTGACTTAGTCCTTATAATTTCATTAGTAAAATCAACATAATTTTTAATGTTTCAGTTGTTGTGACCAAAACTAAAACGAAACAATACTAGAAAGAGAATAAAATATTAGACTTTTTCAATTAACTACTGCTGGATTACTTTAACCGGTTCATTAGAATAAGATTAGAATGAAATCAAATAGAAAATCTCAGTACCGTCAATGGAACAAGCACAACTAAATCAAGTCTACTGATTCAAAACAACTAAAACTGTCATTTCAAACTCCAGCGTCCATTTGTTAAAAAGCAAAAGTGCAAACAGTTAAGCAGCCAGTTAACACGGCACGTTGTTGCATTAAATGTTGGGTTTGTAAAAAAGCAAAGGGGTGTGAACAGAGCAGCTCTCTCACCTTGTAATAGTTGATTAAGTTGAGATACTGAAGCGTTGAAATCACATCTTCCTTCTTTACGCTCGTAATTTCACTAATCTCACTGTTTGATCAAAACGACAATTAGACTTGTGTTGAGAAACAGATTCTTTGAGCCACCGCTGAGAGAGCGGTCTTACTTGATAGTAATCTGTGGCCTTTCTCCATTTTCAGGTTTAAGGTCCATGAGAATTTCCAGGATTGTCTGCGACCAGTAGGAGCGATAAGACAACAGACCGAGATCCGACAGCGGCTTCTCCGGGGTGCCCGTCTTCCCCTCCACCTTCGACAGCTCGTAACCTGAAAATCACCGCAGGTCAAGCCTTCAAGGATTCCAAGTCTACAAATATTTACCACCGAGATGAATGATCCTAAAAGCGTACTCACTGAACTCAATGAGCAGCTTCCCATAACCTCTGCGCTGATACGGAGGCAGAGTCAGGATGCAGGCGACGTTATAATCTTCAGTCGACTCTTTTTCCTGAAAACCACGAAGAAAAAGTTGGGACTCTGGCAACGCATTTAGAGCAGTTACCACAAGATTATCAGTTTTCTCTAGAGACAATTAAATCATTTGTGTACCTTAGAGAAGTAGCCCACTATGTGGAAGCCTTTGGAATCGTACTCCGTCATGACGTAAAAGAGGAAAGGGTCTGTGTCATAATACAACGTCTTGTGGTCCAGGAAACACTTTGCAAGTAAACACAGGTTCTGGGAATAATTCTGAAAAAAAAAAAATAAATAATAATAATAATAAATCAAACAAATCAAAGAGAAAGAATACAACAAATAAAAAAATCCCATAACGCACTTTGTTTTTCCTGCCGTCGATCTCAAAGAATGAGATGGTGCCTTTGCGATAGATCTCGTTGCCAGGAGGATGTCTTAAATTACATTTGGTCTGAAAAGGAAAGGAAACAGAGGATGAGAGCAGAAACCAAGTTTCACGTCTGCAGTACTTTGCAGTTGGAGCATTACAACAAATAAGAAATAAACAAAAACAATATTAAAACTGCAATAGTTTTAGTTTGAGTCTCGGGTATTACACATCAAACAAGAGTCACACATATGACTTATTATACACACCTGTCAACAATATATGGCAACATGTTGGACAAGCAAAGACCTTCTGTAACCTGTGACCTTGATTTGTGACCTTGACCACAGAGCTGCGGTGATAAAAGATTACATGACACTGTCTAGTGATGATGCATGTGTGTATGAGGTTTCATTAAATTATCTTGAGCAGCTCAGACCTGCAAAAACCCTACATCTGACCTTGATTTGTGACCCTGACCTTGAAGCTGAGCTAAGAAAAGGAAGAGACACACTGTGTAGTGATGTCACAAATTTGCATCAAGTTTAGTTAAATGACTGAGTGGATCAGAAGCTATGGGCGGGGCAAGCAAAGACCTCGTTTTCACTTTGACCTTGGAGCTGGGGTGAAAACTGTACGCAACACTCCATCTAGCGATGATGCAACAGACCATCAAGCTTCGTTATCTCGAGCAGATCAGAAGTTATGGCCCTGACAAGTGAAAGTTTACATATCCATGTATGGAGACTGTAATACGACCACCTTTCAACAGAGTATAAAAAGGTGAATCTCTCTGAAGACAAAAACCATCTTACCAAATGCCTCTGAAGACACTTGAGGCTTTTGACGTATTTCAGACAGAATTCACAGAGGTAGAGGATGGGCAGTGTGGTGAGTTCCTGCGGGTACGGTGAGAAGTACCAGGGCTTCAGTCTGTGTCGGCCTAACTCGATACACTCGATATTCTTCATCCGGGTCACGATGTCGTCGTGGCTGCGATCGGACACCAAACTGCCCGTCATGCGGGGCGCGGTCGGGATGCCGTCAGAACTGTCCTGAGAATCCTGGAGAACGGTATGGACATCAGACGGCAGCAGTCTTTATTTGTTCTTTCTCAAACAGAAGCTGTTTGAGCAGATTAATTGTAATATATTTTAAACATTTAGACTTCATTAGTGTTCATTTTTTAGCAGGAGCAAATGAAAGTTTTATTAGACCCACTGTGGCAGGGCTATCCAACTGGCAGCCCGAGGGCAAAATCAGGCCCACGAGTGAACTCGGTTCAGTCCACCAATGAGTTCATTTTTAAATAAAACTAGATTTTAAACCATAAAACAAATGTATTTAATGACAATAACTGCTGGATGCCAGGCCCGAGCTCTTGGCCGTCAGTAACTGTGGCCCACTGAGCAATTTAGCTGAAGAGACCTGCACCGTCCGTGGCATAATGACTTTATAGACACAAAAACACATTCAAGGGCAATAAGAAGGAACGAAACGGACCTCTGGTGGTGGTAGAAAGACACTGGCACTCTGAGGCTTGTTATACTGCAAAACCTTTATCATCTAGAAGACAGACACACAAAAACACAAGCTTTTAAAAACTAAAATAAATATTTTACACTAAAAAATGTGTAATGACCTTACAAATGAAATGCAAAACTGTAAAATAACAAATCACCTTTTACAATGTGTTAGATTAGCACGTTAGCATGTAACAGATAATCTAACATATTACCACATTATTACATATTACAACAACATAAACAAAACATTAGCAAATATCAACAATCTGCAACAAAGCTGCTATAAACATCATGCCAGACATGATCTGCAAACTAAAAAAACTGGTACAAACTAGAAACTCTGTCCTCAAAACAACTAAACTTCCATCACCTAAACAATTTAAAATATTATTTAAAATACTTACTTTTCTTTAGACTTTACTTGATTTACTTTGCACTTTTAACATGAATATAAACTGCAGAAACTGTAATAATGTTTTGTTTAAAAGATTCTCAGCTGCTGAAGAACGTTAACATGTGTGACATTAAATTCACATCATATAAAATTACAAGCTATGAATCCACAAAACAAACACAGAAACATGTCATATAAACAAGTGGTACAGCGATGTCCCCCCCGTCGCCGAGGGGTTGAATAATTAATTATTATAGTTTTTGAGATGAGTATTTGTCGGGACTGGATTTTGACGTAGCAACTCAATTTATAATCATTTTCTTTCGCCTAGTTGCAGCTACACACTAAAACAGAAGTCAGCATGTGGATTATTTTTCAAGATTTCATGTTCGCAACACAGACGGACATCTATGGTGGCAGCCAACTTGGATTATGAACTGCCAACCCAGTTTTTGAAAGTAACGCTTCTTATGCCTAGATGTAGCCACAAACCAAAATGTAAGTTGGCACGTTGCTTATTTTTCAATTTATCTAACTCTCAAGGTTTACATTTATAGCGACAGCCATCTTGGATTTTGACATGGCAACGCAATTCTTGATAGTGACCTTTCTTAGTTGCAGCCACACACCATGATGGAAATCGGCACCTCACAAACGGTCATGCTTAAAACATGCATGGACAGACTGAGGGTATTTCCAACGCCCCCTCTTCGCTCCACGGCGGGGGGGACAAACAATATGAAAACAGAAGATGACTGCAGAGTTGAAAGCCCATCACGTACCTCGTCGGTTCCCCCACAGTTAGCTTTCCTCTTTCTTCCAGGCTGGGGGGGGATGAGGCGTCGGGCGGTGCCGTTCTACAGGAAGACGAGGAACAAAGATGACAAATCAGATTCAAGACATGCAAATCAGAAAAAAAAAAGAGGAGTTTTTACCGTTGTGAGTGAGGCGAGCTGTTCATGGTCTTCTCTGGCCTTAAAGGTGTTGGTGTCTCTCACTGCAGGGAAAACGGCTGCCTGAGTGGCTTCTGCTGAACTCGGCAGAGAGGGGACGGGGGCGGCTGGGGGCACCTGAGTTGCCACAGGGACGCTCTCTACCTTCCTCTTCTGCGGCACACACGGGTGGTGGACATTCAGCTTGCATTCACCCTGGCCAGAGGCAAAAGGTTCAGTTTTCAGAAAGCACACGCGTATACAAATTTTGAGCTGGGTATGGAGAATCTCATCCACACAGTTAATACACAAAGTTTGTGCACTGACCATGATTAGAATAAATCTGATTCAAAGCCACAGCAAATCACAGTTTTTCGTCTACGTTATGGTTTTCTCCAGGTTAGGCTGCTGGACCTCGTTTAAACCTGGTATTAAGATGGAATCAACACAAATGAGCTGCAGCTGAAAACTTGTCGACTCACAGCAAACGGTCGTATCTAGTTCCTCAAGTCCTGCTTCTGTGCTTCATGACCTGGGATTATTGTGTGAACGCTTGTGAAGCATTCACACTATTGAGATCCATTTTTCTTCCGTACGTTTTTCAGCATCTTTCTCGTTCCACAATTCTTGTGCTATTTCAACAAATCAAAACCTTCAGCTGTTTCAAGACAATCCTGCTGACTTTTGGTATTGGTGCAACTTTAGCTTTTTTGAAATATTTAGCCTTTTCTGACACTTCTTTCTCTTGGGACATGAACTGAGCTCATTTTACATCCTTTACATCTTTACATCTGTTTACAACCTTTTACTGCTCGTTTCACATTTTGTTCTGGTTCGCTTCTTTCAGCTTCCTTGTGCAAATTTAAACTTTTTTACAGCTATTTTCAGCTAATTTCAGCTGTTTTGTGCTCCTTTCAGCTTATTTCTGCTAACTACAAAATTTTTGCGCTTGTTCTAACTTATTCAGCTAGTTATAGTCCTTTCAGCTTATTTCTGCTAGTTTCAGTTATATTAGCTAATATTTAGCCGTTTTTATGCTCATTTTAGCTTTTCGGTTAATTCCACATTTTTTGCACTCATTTATTTTTGACCTAATTCAGCAAAAATGTACTCCGTTCACTTTCTTCTGTAATTTAAGCATCTTTCTGCACTTTTTAAGCTACTTTTCAACTTTTTTTCTCTAATTTCAGATTTTTTCCAATGATTTCCACATTGTGTGTTCATTTCTGCTTCTTTCGGCCTAACTGGGCAAACTTGTTCTTTCTGCTTTCTTAAGCTCGTTTTACCTTTTTGGCTAGCTTTTCAGCATTTTTTTTTTAGCTAATTTCAGTTGTTTTCAGATTAATTCAAGTTTTTCATGGTAATTTCTGCTACTTTCAGTCTAATAAACTTCTTTACGCTCCTTTCAGCTTTTTTCTTCTAGTTTCAGCTTTTTTTCTGCTATTTCAGCTACTATTTAGCTGTTTTTATGCTTAGTTGAGCATTTTAAGCTAATTCCACATTTTTAGCTCATTTCAGCTCGTTCCGTTTCCTTCTCGTAGTTTGTTTTTTCTGCCCTTTCAGCTACTTTTTGCGAATTTCAGTTTTATTAACTAATTTCTTAATTTTTGTGCTCAATGGATGGATTTCTGCTTATTTAATCCAAATGTGGCAAATAGGTGTTCTTTCTGCTTTCTTCTGCTAACTTAGGCTTGTTCTTCCTTTTCAGCTACATTTCAGCATGTTGTTTTTAGCTAATTACAACTGTTCTTCTGCAATAAGCGTTCACACTGCATTTTCGCAGGAAATGCAAGTTCTCTTAACCTTTGCAGGTAATCAAACCACCTTCAGTGCCAAAACAAGAGTTTATAGCCACCCTTCAAGTTTAAATGTGGAGTGACAAGTATTTACATTTAAACATTTGAATAAACTGTATCAAACCACGAGTGTTTGAGATTTATAATAACTGAATAATCACAACTCATTACATCTGGTCTCTTTTGCAGTGCAAACGTGAGCCCCAAGCTGCTCAGTCACATAAATCATGTTAACACCAGGTTTAAGAAGGTCTCAGCAGTCTTTAGAATGGGTAAATTCAACTTGTACCGGAGTGGGGAGGGTTTTGCCTCTGGAAGGAGCTGTGGCAGATGGAACGTTGAGATCTAGACTCTTCCTCTGAACACAAAGGAAGAGAAGGAAGGGGATTAAATGACACACATGCTGACCCTCTGGGTTAATTGTCAGATTTTGTAAACAATTTATTCAATTAATGACTTCACAAAGGCAGAAACAATTTGCTTTCAGTTTTGGTAATGTTTTAGCCAAACAACACTCTTTATAACTGATGTTAATCTAGATTACCTGTTTCTTCTGCACAGCTGCTTCAGTGTTTGTTTCCTTTCTTTCACTCACCTCACAAGAGAAAACCAGACAGATGTTAAGGGCTGACACTGGGTGACAATGGGCAGACGGCAATTATTTATTTTTATTGTAAGATTGCATTATAACATAACCGTCACAGCAAAATACATACCGGTACATTTAAGTTTGACTGAGGCATAGTGTTTTGGTTGATATGCCCATAATACATACATACACACAGTTTTCCTTCATGTATACCTCAGCCTGGTGGTACAACTGTAGGGTAAACCCTGACAAAATCTTAAATATTTTGAAGTAATTAAGAAGCCTGAAAATTATATTATCTGTTGGGCAAGCAAACTGGTTCGTCTCTGGACCAAAAAGCACCATTTTTGAGTTGGTACACAAATTTAAAAGTTGAAGAACCACCACCTTAAAATGCCCTTTTTAAATAAATAAATAAAAACCGTGAAAGAGTTTTGCAGCCAACAGACAAAAAGCGAGGAAAAGGCTACAAGGTGTGAACAAGAAGAGGTACATTCACTTACAGCTTTACAGAAGAAAACAGATTTTATCGTAATAGAAAAGAAATGATCGTTCTGCGTTTGATTGAAAGACGGAAAGTTTACTTGTCATCCAACCCTGCCAAAGCACTGCAAAAAGAGCAGCCTTTCCATCAAGCTTGAAGCGTTTTTTTAATTTGTCCAAAAGGCCATATGATATAAAAACCACTGAAAACATTTAAATTAGTAAGCCCTTTGTGAAAAAACATAATATCCTGCAGTGGCTCCGGTAACTTCCACCAACTCCAACAGCCTTTAGCAAATTTCAAACAATGGACTTGGAGCCGGGCAAAAAGCCTGAATCTGTGCTGGACAAATTGTTTTCAACATAAACAGTAAGTGAGACTGCTGAGCAGATGGCCGAGGCTGCAGTTATGAAACGTAACGTGAGGGACCGAGAGTGACTGGTTGGCAGCAGCTGAACGGTTTGAGAGCTACAGGAAATAAAATCATCAATGATGCTTTTTGTTGTTTTGACAGCAAAAATAAATAAATAAAAATATTCGGTTAAATACTAATATCATATCGGTCCTTTAAATAAAACCTGCGACATTTTGCAGGTTTATTCAAACTACTCAAAAAAGTCAGCAACTATTAAACACACTGTAAGTGATGCTGCTAATCTTGAGCATATTATTGCGATGTTTGAGTTTCTGACATAAACATTCAGCACCGTGGTGTCCACTTACCACTTCCCTCTCTGGTGAACTGGGACGGGAGCCAGAAAGCCCATTCTTAGTTGGCGTTTTAGCTTCTTTCTTAGGAAACTGAAGCTTCTTAATGTCCAGCCTGTCTGTTGTGACCCACTCATCCAGGCGCTTGTTGACTGTAGACACAACATTTTATAGACAGGAAGACGGTTGCTGTGATGTTTCTGTCACCCAGCTATAAAACTATTCAACAAATCCCCCCCAAATGAAGGTTGGATATATTAAAAATATTTAAATGTCATGTGTGGACCGAGCACTTTAAATCAGAAGAAATGCTTTTTGATCAAAACAAGAATCAATTACCGACATAAATGATCATTTTTGAATCTGTAAACAAACCCCAGCCTTTACAGAGACAGATAAAACTGACACAACAAGGAAAGCGTTACTCACAGTCAATGTAGTGAACATAGTATAGCTTTCTCCCAGACACTTCTTTCACGCTTAAAATCTCAGCCAATGCTGCAAGAAAAAAGAAAAGCAGAAATGTTAAAACTGAGGTAACCTACTGATAAACTGCTGATTACCTGTTTGATGAATCTACTAAATCAACATCTCCAGGTTAAGTTTTCAATTCTGTAAAAATGTTGCCCTGTTTTCTTGTAAATAGTTCTGTTGGTTGTGGGCGGCACGGTGAGGTACTTGGTAGAGCTGCCGCATCTCAGCAAGGTCGCCGGATCAAATCCCAGCTGGGGGGGGGGGGCTGGGGTGGGGTTTGCATGTTTTCTCCGTGCATGCGTGGGTTTTCTCCGG